TAATAAATATTAATTATTTTATTAAATATTAATTATTTTTAATTATTAAAACAAATAAAATTAATGTTTTTAACAATATTATGTAATCTTAACAAATCAATAAGTGATATAATTACTTATGATCTGTTGATTTGAGTAAAAATAATTCAACTCCACTTAAGTAAGGTCTTAAATTTGATAGTATAACCACATCATAATTGAAATTCCCTTCCCAATTAAGGTTATTGTTACTAAAAATTTGTTTAGTCATTAATTTTGGTTGTAATTTTATGTTTATAGTTTTTTTTAAATCATTAATCATAATATTTAAATATATTTAGAAATTAATTTTAACTTATTAAATAATAAATATTAATTATTTTATTAATTACTAATTTTTTAAAAAATAAAAAAATATCAAGACGTTTAATTATAATTTTAAATAATATAAAAAATTTAGTGTGCATCTTAATTTTTTTTAAATTTATTATGTAATTATTATAAGATATTTTGATATTTTTAATATTAAAATGTTTTAATTTTTTAATTTTTTAACTTTTAAGAATTAAATTATAATAAAAATTTCATCATTTTAACAAAATTAGTGGTGAAACATAGCCCCTTTTTCTTTTTCCCTCTAAAACTATTTGTACTTCTTTTTTTCGCCTTCAATTATTTGTACAACTTGTTAAAAAACAAAAACAAAAGTCAAACCATTATAGCTAGCTAGCTAGAAAGGAAATCTAAAGAGTTGCATAGGATCACAATCATAACTTCATAGCACGGTCGGTTGGTCCGCCTTCAACACCCAGATACCTTTGCTTTGATTGGCCACTCTCTACACGCGCAATGTGGAGAAAGTGGTCATGATGGGAGAAATGGACCGTAAAACGAGGAAGAGTGGGTCAAAGGTTACACAGCTAATTGGCCCTTGGATGGCGTGAAAAGCCGCAATAATGAGATTGTGGCAGGAACTTAGGCTGCGTTTGGAATTGTGCGGTTGGGAGTTTTTGTGTATAATCACACATTATTTTTATTTTTAAACATATGTATATATATATTTTTTAAATTATTTTTTTAAGTTACAAAAAAATTATAATTGATTCATAATAATTTTATATATAAAATTAAAATTTTCATTTTAAAATTTTTTAACTATAATTTTTA